ACTCTGGCAACCAGCCCCCATCCTGAAGCTATCTTGGGCCCCTGTCACCTCATTAGCATAAGCTGAGGTGAGGTTGCCCTCATCTGGATGGCAACAGGTCCCCTGGTCTGTCACTCAGGAAGTCACAAGCGCTGCCTGGCTGGTGGCTCCTTGGTCGGAGTGTTGTCAGTACACTGAAGGGTGGAAATTCCATTCCCAGGTGGGGCACCTACCTGGGTTTCAGGTTGGATCCCTGGTTGAGGTGCAAATGGAGGCAACTAATCAAAGGTTTTTTCTTTCTTCCTCTCTCTAAAATCAATGAAAACATATAATTATATGGGGTTTTTTTAATGGCTTTTAGTGGCGGAGCATGAGGGGAGGGGCAGTGTGGCAGAGGCCGGAGGGAAGGTCCCCCACCCTTCGCCTGATACCTCAGGCTGTTTCTAAGTTGAATCCTTTATATGAAAACAAACAAGTAACAAGAAGTAAACTGCAACTGTGTTTGTGTCTGTGTCAGGAGACAAAGACAAAACATATATATAGTGTGCGGCAAAACAGGTTTACAGTTGTACCTACCTTTGCTATACATACCCTTTACGTGCTATACACATATATCCACACACACACACACACACACACACACACTGAGTGGCCAGAGTATTAGGATCTATGAATGCATAATAATCTGGCCACTCAGTTTGTGTGTGTGTGTGTGTGTGTGTGTGTGTGTGTGTGTGTTAGAGGATTAGAGGCCAGATGCATGAATTCATACATGGGCAGTTGGCCGGCCTGCCTGCTGGTCGAAATCCTGGTCAAGGGCACAATTTGCATATTAGCCTTTTATTCTATAGGATATATACTGAGTGGCCATTATGATTACGTGTTCAGAAGTCATAATATCTTGGCCACTCAGTGTATATGCCTTATTACATCACCATATCGCACCCCACACCAAGTAAAGAGGGCCAGTGATCTGGGTCCCATTCGTGCTGTGGACTGGTTTGAGATTTAGCCTTGGCTACTTTGCCCTCCACTGTGTGAAAATACATGCACATCACTGAGTCAAAATGAGTCCAAAGAAAATTTTCACGAAGATGACATTCAGAGCCTGGTAATCTGAAAGATAAGGACTGGTTTGTACGTAATCACTACGCATTGAGCCTGTGAATGTGGTCTTGTGCGTTAGATGCACCACTCACTTCTGAAACTATTGCAGCGTCTTCCGGGCAGGCACCTTGGCATCCAGGGGCAGGGCTGACCTGAAGGCTTTCCCAGGCTCGGGAACAGACTGGGTGGCTGCTTCTAACCTGGAGAGCTATGCAAAGGAGTTTGTGTGGCAACAACTTGCAAATCTTTGAGTCCCAGGTGAATTCCCTGAGTTTTCTCTGAGTTTGAGAGTCAAATACATTCCCAGGCCCCGCCTGGGTGCATCCAGTCCCGCCTTGTCAGGTCAGTGAAGCGTCTGCTCCTCCACTTGGCCTAGCTCACTGGAATATTAGCACAGCACCCGGGCGTCCAGACCCGTGTGTGGGCTGCTCTGAGGTCAGGCAAACAGTGGAATTGGACTAAACAAACTCGCAGAGTTGGGATACCACCACTAAGTGTCATTTGGCTTTGTCACAATTTCTTTTTCTTAAAACGGGGCTCATTTTGTTTCAATAAAGTAGACCGGTACTTGGCAGTTTGCAAAACATGGTTGATACGTAAACAGATTGTTGACCCCATTTCCTTGAGGTTTAGCCTCTGCCCCATCTGATTGCTGTCTTTGCTGTGGAAGAAGAAGCAAAGGCACAGGGTGAGCTGTGAGCCCGGGCGCTGGCCCTGGCCTTCCCTCTCAGAGCTCCTGCTTCACTTCTCCCCACCTCAGAGCGGCCTCTCCGAGGAGGTTCGGTGCCAGTTCTGGACTCGCCAGTGGCATGACCGCAACCAGCAGATTGCCACCACGTCACAGAAATGCGAACTAAGTAGAGAAATGGAGAAGCATGGGGAGTAGGCTAGGGGTTTTCTGGGGGTGGGGTCAGTGAGAAAGTGTAGCCAATGGGGTCCAATCAGGGAAGAGAAACCACAAGTAGGCTAAACAGCATATGTGAACACTAATGAACAAAATAAACTAACAAACAAAATAGAAGGAGACTCATAGAGACAAGCAGCTCACACTGCTAGAAGGGAGGGGTGGGGAGCTAGTGAGAAAGGTGAAGGGATTAAGCAAAAAACAAAAACAAAAATCTCAGAGACACAGACAACAGCTTGGTGGTTACTAGAGAGAGAGTTGAGGGGAGGTAGGAGAAGGTAAAAGGGGATAAATGGTGATGGGAGGAGACTTGACTTTGGATGGTGAACACACAGTACAATATGCAACATATTGTAGAACTGTACACCTGAAACCTACATAATTTTATTAACCAACTAGTGGCCCAGAGCATGAAATGTGTGCACTGAGGGGGTTCCCTCAGCCCACCTTGCCCCCTCTCACAGTCCGGGAGCCCACAGGGGTTGTCCTAATGATGGCTTAGGCCCACTGCCTGCTGCCACTGCTGGCTGCTGCAGCTGCCAAGGTGTTTTCATAAACACAGACTCCAGTCCCTTCACCACACACAAAAAAATGACAATTTTCTTTAGGCATTTTCAAGATGTATCTTTCATAAAACATGACCTTTCTTTCTTTCTTTCTTTCTTTCTTTCTTTCTTTCTTTCTTTCTTTCTTCCTTCCTTTCTTTTATCCTCACCTGAGGATATGTTTCCATTGATTTTAGAGAATGTGGAAGAGAAAGGGAAAGACAGAGAGCAACATCAAAGTGAGAGGAACACTTTGATTGGTTGCCTCCTGCATGAACCCTCACCTGGGCCCCAGCCAGGGAGGAGCCTGCAACCTACGTATACGCCCTCGATCAGAATTGAACCCAGACTCTGCGGTGGGCAGGCCAAGGCTCTATCCACCGAGCCAAACTGGCTAGGGCAGGATATGACATTTCTTATCCCTCCAGCAGTGGACCTTTGATTTTTCCTCCAGAAGAGAGGTGGAAAAACCCTAGATCACCTTCTTGGATTCTTATTAGGCAAGTTACCAAGAACGCTGCGAGTGGCCTACAGGGAGCTAAGCCAATGAGCGGCCAGAAAAGGAGTCCCCTCTGCAGCTTATGTGCAGAGGCAGGACTGCTGGTGAGAACCTGCCCTCGCCACCCACAGGCTCTCTTCCTCTCTCTCCTTTCCCTCTCCCTCTCCCTCCGGTCCACTAGTTCTGAAAAGCAGTGAAAAAATATCCTCTGGTGAGTATTAAACACAGAACACGGAATAACAGGCCTCCTCCTTGGAGATGCTGAGTATGTAGGCCTGAAAGAGAATTCGTGGCTCTGTGAAGATCCCTACATGAATTTTATTAACAATGTTTGGAAAAATAGCCTAAGCCACACCAATGACTCAAGCTTGTGCTTTTCTGTGTTCCAGGGAAGAATCAAATGATCCTTTGTTTTATTGTGTCAAAACAAAATTTTGCATGTGTTAAATACATAATTCTTACTCAAATACATACTAGCAGATGCAAAGGTTCTGTTTAACTCAGTGAAGGGACTGGCAGGATGATAATGCTGTTCAAACAAGATTGCCAAAGATGAAAGCTTGAAATAAAACTGCTAAACTGGATATAATCTGGCTAATGTCCTATAGGACAATAAAACCATCACTTTTTGAATTGGTGTGTCTTCTAGACAGAAATTAGTTATATCTTTAAAAGCCTAAAAATTATTTTCATCTTCTCTCTTTGCTGATCAGGCCTATAAAATGTCAAAATATGTGGAACTTACTTAATTGTAAATAGTGTGTCAGAGTTGTGTGTTTCATAGAAAAGGAAATGATCATTCTGTGGGCCTCTATTCTGAAAGGACTTGCTGACACGTTTTACTCTGGGCCTACAATGGGCCAGCCCTTGCCTCTGGGGACTGCTATTGGCTGCAGAGGCTGTGGGCCAGCCCCCCTTCCCTGTCTGAATCCACTCAGAGGCTCACCTGCGCACACCACCTTCTCCGTGACCCTTTATGGTGTGTTGGCCTAATTTGAATATATATATATATATATATATATATATATATATATATATATATAGAGAGAGAGAGAGAGAGAGAGAGAGAGAGATCACCTCAATAAATTTTAATGAAAATTTGAAAAGTACGTTAACTACATTAAATGAAAATAAGATATAAGGGACTCCATATGGTAGCCTCGGGCTGAGAGATGGCCTGCAAAGAAGGACAGAGTTAGAAGGGGCCTCGGTCTCGCCGGACAAGGCGTGGATGGGGCATTGGGCCTGGAGAAGCTGCGGGGTAGCCGGGCTGCAGCTGGTGCGGAGTTGCTGAGCCCACATGGAGCACCCTCCCGGGGCGGACAGGAGCAGTCAGCGGAGCACCTACCTGCAGGGGATCCTGCTTTCAGGAGGAGAAGGCAGGCAGGCAGAGAAGAGCTGCTCAAGGGCACCCTGGCTGCACAGGCCTGCTGGGTTTTCCCCAGGGGTCACCAGGCAAACCATGTGAAGTTGCGGAGGGACCACTTCCAGGGCCCGTGGTTCTGGCAGGATCCACACGAAGTCCTCCTTCATGCACGCTGACCTCCCAGGCTGGGACCAAGTTGCGGGAAGCCCCTTCCTGCTCCAGGTCCCTCTGCTGAGAGAGCTCCGCGTGGTGCTCACGTGAAAGAAGAAATCTTATAGGATTTCATTGCTGGCTATAGCGCCCGCACCGAGGGTGCATTTGGAGCTGAGAGGACATAAAGTGGTGATGACAGGGAGCTGAGCAAGAAATTAGCACATAGTAGGTGCTCAGTAATTGAAAGCTGAGAATATGATAGCTATTCAGGAAAGCTGAATAAATTTAAATTAGTTGGAATACATTTAAAATTAAGCAACTGTGTTCATCTTAATTGTCATGTCATTTGTTGTGAATTATCTAACTAGACACAAAGTTAAGAATCTGTGTGTGAAATAATGCTCATCTCTAATTCATGTGTCTTTTCTTGATTTTCTGTTTGCCCAGGTCTTATACAATATACTGATCGCCTTCACAAAGATGCACAAGTTCGAAAGCATCGAGCCTGTGGACGTTTTGGCCGGATGTGCCCGGTTCATTATCGTGGGGGTCGGGGGAGTCTTTTTCGGAATTATTTTTGGATTTGTTTCTGCGTTTATCACACGTTTCACTCAGAACATCTCTGCAATTGAACCGCTCATTGTCTTCATGTTCAGCTATTTGTCTTACTTATCTGCTGAGACCCTCTACCTCTCGGGCATCCTGGCGTGAGTACAAACCAAGGATTATTTCTCATAGCAAAAAAAGAGCATTCAGGCCCACGTCCTGCGGACCAGCCTCTGAAGCTGGGCTGCAATGCTGATTCTCAGAGGGGTGGCGGGATTCGGGTTTATCAGGCACATGTGAAATCTGATGCAGATCCTTTGCCAAACACTGTCCAGCATTTGTGTGTGCTCTCTTCTCCTGATCGCTGAGGAGAGCACAGCAAGGACAAGGTCACTTAAAAATCATCAGAAAAGCTGCTGCCGACAAAATCTGGGAGACAGTACATTTTTTTCTTTGAAAAATTCACTCTTTGAGTTAGGGGAAGCATGCCCTGTGGGACTGTCTTCTGCATTTCTTCAAACCGCATTGCAGCTCCAGGACCTTCAGGGCAGAGTGAAACCAGGCAGATGGGATAAGACTGGAAATCCAGGTCTCTTTTTTCTTAATGAAAAACATCATGTAAACATTTATTCTTGTGTTGGTCGTGGAATGAGGCTTTTCAATGTGGCCCTTACACCTGGTCATGTTGTTTTCTCTCAGACATTATTCTCATACTAGTGGAGCAGGGGAAGAGAGGGCTTTCCTCTGCCTAGCCTGCAACCTCTCCAATCGGGAACCCCTTGGGTGATGTCCAACCACAACCTAGAACCACTGGCTCCTAACCATTCATCAACCTGCTTGCCTGATCGCCCCTAACTTTCTCTGCCTGCCTGCTTGATTGCCCTAACTTCCCTTCCTTACCTACCTGATCTCACCCCCAAATGCCCTCCCCTGCTGGCCTTGGCCCTGCCACCATGGCTTTGTCTGAAAGGAAGTTGAACATCCAGAAGATGGCTGGTTGACCGGTCTAATTAACGTATTACTTTTTTATTAGTACAGATGAAGCTAGTTGGACTGCAATAGTTAATTTTATTGTACAAAGATAACTACTTTAATTAAATATAACAGTGTAAAAGCTAGGAACTCCTATTTCTCACCTTAAAAATGATCAGAACTATTAAGACAAGGCAAAGTTCTCTTCACCCACACCCTTCCTAAGTGGATCTAAACCGGAAATATTTTGAATGAAAAAATTCTTATTAAATTATTGGAAGAAATGCTGCTCAGGGGGAGATACTGAGGCACCGTGTTGAATGACTCCTCCTAGGGAATCACCATGGATATTTGAGTTAAAAAGGCAGAATGGAGAGACAGTGAGGGGATCGGCAGAACTCCTGGGTGGGAGGGCAAGATAGAAAGAGCTGGGCTTCCAGTGTGGCATGAACTCCTGCCATCGTGCTGTGGGAAGGCCATGGCGCCCTCCTCCCACCACATTCAAGTCCTGCAAACCCCTGGGGAGGACGAAGAGGCAGAAAGAGAATCTGTGGAAAGGCTGCAGCCAGAGAGGGGAGGGGATGTTTTCTCGGGATAAATACAGGAGTTGTGTGTCTGTGGCACCAGCAATACGGTGGGTTTGTGGAGAGGGGAAAGCCCTCTGCTTCTCCCTGAGACTCGGCTCCTCCTGCAGCATCACGGCCTGTGCAGTGACAATGAAAAAGTACGTGGAGGAGAATGTGTCCCAGACGTCCTACACGACCATCAAGTACTTCATGAAGATGCTGAGCAGTGTCAGCGAGACCCTGATCTTCATCTTCATGGGCGTGTCCACCGTGGGGAAGAACCACGAGTGGAACTGGGCCTTCGTGGGCTTCACGCTGGCCTTCTGCCTGCTCTGGAGAGCCATCAGTAAGTAAGGGGCCGCGGCCAGGAGCCCGCCTGCTGCTTTCAGTGTCCCTTATCCCTTCCTCAGTGCCCTAGCACAGTGAGGTGATGCCAGCTGGTTCTACTGGTTCGGGGAGTACCGGCACCTTGTGGCCTGGAATGCTGTTTACTCCTTCACTCGGTTCAAAGTCCTTAGTGGCTGATAAGGCTCTGCCTGGAGCAAGGAGCATTATTAGTTAGTTGGAGGGAGACCATCCACAGCTCACATCAATATAGCAGCGCCTTCTCCCTGCTCTGCTTTGCCCGCTTGCACCTGAGTCAGATATAGACTGAGCTGTGAGCTGAGGGCATTTGCGCTTTTGTCCCAGGAAAAGTGAGATGTCACACGTTGTGGCCTGTGTAAGGCAAGCACTGTTAGAAATGTTTTCCTAAATAACACCGGTGCTGTCAGCTGAGAGTGAGTCTGATGCACAGAAATCAAGGACCGGGGATGAATCTTTACTTATAAGAAATGCTTGGTGTTAAGTAATAAAGACAACTCTCTACATGATGTAATTAGAGCCCCCTCTATAAAATATGCCTAACTTAAAAAGTGAGATGTTTTGACGAATGGCTGCTGGTTTATTTTGTTTTATTATTATGTTTCTGGAGCTAGAAAAACAGTAAGTGCTGAACTATAATGTAGGTGTTGACTTTTGACTAGAAGCAATTATATTTTAAAGTGATTTGACCAATATTTAAAGCATTTTAAAAAATATTTTTATCAATATTGTCAAGCCGATACTCAAAGAGAAATTAGGAGAAATGGATGAGAACTTATTAAGCATTAAATTAATTTAGGATAGGTTTCAGGATCTTGAAAAATAATAAGAATGAAAAAATATTAAAATATTCATAAAACTTACTCTGAATATGTGTGCCTCAAGAGGAAAAATTTAAGGAAACTTTGATAGAAATGTATAATCCCACATCAAGTCCTGGCACTATTACTAAACTGCTATTCAACTTTGGACAGATATTTAACTACTCCAAATATTCCTCCTCAGCCACAAACTGTGGGTGTGGACAGCTTTCCGAGCCCCTGTCAGCGAACGCTGTAGGAGTGCAGCGTTAGGAAAGTGAACAGGAGAGAAGTAACATGACTGAGCTCTGGCCCAGGCAGCAATACAAACCACCTAGGGGTGGACACTGGGCCCCTTCAACACCACTGACCTTGGCAACCGCCCAGCTGACTCCCGTCCTCTGACAGGACAGAGCCAGGTCAGATGCTGCTCTCCCACCCCAGCCTGCTCATTGCAGCTCACACTGGTTCACACTCAAGGAGGCACATAACACATAGGCCCTACTCTGTAATTACTTACAGCTATGAAATTAACTTCAACCCACATCCCCCTTCTGCGGAATATGATCAGTACCTTCCTTAAGCAGGTGCAACATCAAGGACATGACACAATTAAGAGCCTTGCCTGAGGTCTCATGATCCATAAGCATGCAGAGGAGCCAGGACAAACAACAGGAAGTGAACAGAGGGAATGTGACTGTCTTGAGCTACCAGTGTGCCTGTAATCAAAGGCTGGGTGCCATGAAGTCTGGTGATTAGAAGTCACATGACGATGCTGAGCGCTGGAGTGTTAGTGCAGGGACCTCTCGCACCGGGAACCCCTGCACTGACGTCAGTAGGTCACGTGGGCTGCCTGCTGGAGATGGAAAATCAATGTGGCGGAAAGGACCTCTGTTTTAAATAAGCTCTCCTGCCCTTCACCCTCACTTACAGCAGGAACCCTTCTCTTGAATTCTCGCCAGCATCCTTTTGTGTTCGCATAGAATCTCGAGAAGAACCAAACCAACCACAAAAGATGCGCTCACCCTGTAGAGTCCACAGTCACGGAGAAGGAGACTCCTTTTACACTGAAAATCACACACCTCCTTTGGTTACTCAGTGAGAACATGAGATGATAGAAATGTTTGATTCCCCAGACAATGCTTCGGTTTTATCTTGTTTTGAAAGGCAGAGCAAAAACAATGAGCATAAATTAGAATGTCTAGGTCACAGCTCATATCAGGAAGTATCAAAATGTATGACAGTAACTGCACGCACTCGGAGCACTGCTGTTCGGACGGGCGTCACGGGTGGCAGGACTGAGGTGCCAGCTCTGAAGGCCGCACAGGGCGTGGTTCTCTCATTGCACCTCCAGGCGCTCACGACCCTGTCACCCCCCCCCCTGCAGGCGTGTTCACTCTCTTCTACGTCAGTAACCGCTTCCGGACCTTCCCTTTCTCCGCCAAGGACCAGTGCATCATCTTCTACAGCGGGGTCCGCGGAGCGGGCAGCTTCTCGCTGGCATTTCTGCTGCCCCTGTCTCTTTTTCCTCGGAAGAACATGTTCGTCACTGCTACTTTAGTGGTTATATATTTCACTGTATTTATTCAGGTTGGTAAGTTTTATTCCTATTTGAAATAAGTAGATTCTTTCAGGGTTATGCATTAAATTACTATAATACCAAAAAAGTACACTTTATTTGATTCTCAGACATGATTTTCTATCTCTATATTGTCTGTTTATTATTTTTAGAAATTAGATAATATATCTAAACTAAATTCCCACATATTTATAAATCATGTTTGTGCTATCCTTCAACCTCTAAAATATGTTGATTTTTAATCAGTGAAATATTCATCAAAATATTCCTGGGTAACAGGTGAATTATAGCTACTCTATGGTGTGTTGCTTAAAATGATATTCCAATTAATACTCAAAAGCACAAATTTTTATTTTAGCTCAAACTACTTTTCAGCAAACTAGTAAGAGGTTATTTTAAGGGAGGAAACTAAACTCCTGCTTTAAAAATAGTGACATAATGCCCATTTTATTACATAATTTAAAAGAATTAAATAATAACCAAAGAGTGAAGCATTTAGCCAATAGAAGCTAGTAAAAAACAAAGACATAAAAATTGGGAGTTCTAGAAGCTGCATTAATGGACTTGTTCACTATTATGACAATCTTCACTATAACAAAACCCTTTATTTTCTTACTTATGTTCTAGGGAATCACAATTGGCCCTCTGGTCAGATATCTGGATGTTAAAAAAACCAATAAAAAAGAATCCATCAATGAAGAGCTTCACATCCGTGTAAGTTAATTCTGTCAAAATTAGTAAGTTAGTGAAATGCATTCCACTTGCCGCCTCTGAGAGTATCCTAGGGCTTTGATGAAGCCTGTGTGTATTCCCCAGACATAGCTTCTTTCCTCTCAGCTCTACCAAGAGTGGCATACTAACTCCCTATCACTGTTGTGAGAAGTCACTACAAACTCAGTGGTTTAAAAAAAAGCACAGTAATTATCTTATATTTCTGGAAGTCAGAAATTCAAAATGGCTCTCGGTGGGCTAAAATCAAGATGTTTTGGGGCTGCATTCCTTTCTGGAGGTTTTAGGGAAGAACTTATTTCCTTGCCTCGTCCAGCTTCTAGAAGCTGCTGGCATTCGTTGGCTTCCTGGACCCCTTCCTCTTCGCAGCAAGTGGTGGCCAGGCCGGTCTTTCTCGTGCTGTGTCCTTCCAACACTGACTCTGCTGCCTTCCCTTCCATATTAGAGACTTTTATGATTATATTGGGCCATGTGGATAACTTAGGATATTCTATCTTAAAGTCAACTTACTGGCAACCCTAAGTCCATCTGCTCTTAATTCATCTCTGTATATGTAGTAAGGTGTTCACAGGCTCTGGAGATTGAGACATGGCATCTTTGGAGACCATTATTCTGCCTACCAGTCTGTCCTCTGCCCTCCAAAGGTTCAGGTCTATTCCACACGCAAAATACATTAGCTCTATCCCAATATCCTAAAAGTTTCAATACATTATTTTAACTCAAAGACCAAATATCTTATCTAGATCTTATCAGTTTAAAAGTCCCAAGGATGATCATCACATTTGTCTAAATCAGGCATGGATGGAGCCCGGGTATAATCCATCCTGAGGCCAAACTGTTCTGCATCTGTGACACTCAAGAAGTCAAAGTAAGTTATCTTCTTCCAAAACACATTGGTGGGAAAGTCATAGGATAGCAGCTGTAGATAATCATTCTCAAAAGAGAGGAGAGATGGAAGGAAAAAAGGAGTCGCCCATCCCAAGCATATCTCTCAGTTCACCTGGGAAAACTATTTGGTTTCAAAGCCTGAGAACAATCTTCTGTGATTCTTTGTTCTGTCTTCTTGGTTTTAAACTCCACCCTCTGAGTCATACTCCTTTTTTCATCCAAGGTGGCCTGTTGGGAGCTCATTAATTTGATCAGCCTGTTTCTTGCCTGTGGAGTTTCGGGGATCTCAAAGCCTTCTTTATATTGTCTTTTCTCTCTCCCTTTTGGTCCAAGCTGGCGGTGTTTCTGAGAAGAAAAGCAGAAGCAGTGGGAGATATATATATTAAGACCTTTGTTACAAGGAATTGGCTTGTCTACTGTGGGGACTGGCTAGACATGTCCGAAATCTATGAATAGGTCATTAAGTTCTAAAGCTGGGAATCTCTGTGTCACTCCAATACTGACTCTTCTGCCTTCATCTTCCATAGTAAACACCCCCATGATTACCCTGGGCATGAGACTCAGCTTCTGTGCTCAAGTGGCAACCTCAGCTCTGCTCTTCAGGCCTTGCAACTGACCAAATCAGGCCCGTCCACATTTTCTGGAGTGTCCTCCTTTACTTAAGTAGCTGGCTCTGGACTTCAATCATACCTGCAAAACGCCTTCGCTACAATAGCAAGATTGTGTTAGCAATGACTGGGGACTTGCCTAGATAACCTGACCCTTCAGAGAACTTTCACTGTGACTAATGTAGAGAGTTGTCCTACTTGGTTCAAAGCCCTTGTTCCAGTGACACCTGGTCCCCTGCTCTTCCTGACGTTGATTAGAAAAGGGTGAAGGATTCTACTGCCCCCACAAATGTCTCTGTGCGGAGTTCAGTGAAAATAGCTCCGGAGTTCAGTGAAAATAGCCACATCTGACAAAGAGGAGGTGAAGTTGAGCATGGCTTCTACCTGTTAATTTTATTGAAGTTCTATACAATCGTGAATGGGGTATTATTCTATGTGGCTCCAGGGAATAGAAATGAGAATGGAGGTATGGAAGATATAAGGAGAGAGCCTTAGACTCCGCTAATAACGAGCACTCCGACCTGTTTCTTACATGACACACCCAAAGCTTAAGGGGGTGTGTACGCCATGACTGGGAACATGTGGCACAGACATGTGGCACAGACATTGAGGGGATAATTGACTCAGGTAATTTTTAGGTTTCTTTCATCCTTGTGAATTCATGATGTTAAAGCTGGAGAAACTGCTGAAATCATTCAAAATTAGCCCTGAATTTCAAGGCCAAAGTCACCTGAGGAAATAAAGCAATTAAATTTAAGAAAACCCAAAATAAAAATTTTCAAATTCATTAAAGAATATTCAATAGATGAGGATAAGGAGTATTTTAAAATAAGTAATGCTTTAATCTAATTAAAAAATTTTATTTTTTTATCCCCTCTGCTTATTATTTTGAGAAATTAGAGATTATATAAATTTCTAATATATAATCTAAGATAATAGAAATTGGATATTTCCTTTGTATTATATAGCTAAGACAATAGAAATTGGGTATTTCCTTCTTATTTGTTTTCTTAAAAAAGTTATAATTATTAATAGGATATCCATCAATTAAATATTTCAGAATTAATTTAGTATTTTAATCTATTTTGCAAAAAAATTTTAGAAGCTACTATGAATCTTAATGGTCACAAATTTAAATTATATCAAGACTAATTTATAAATTTCTAAGAGATTATCCTTTCTCCCTAAATTCCTATGAACAATTTTTATAAATCAAATGTAGTATAATTGGCTTGGGTGATGAAATATAAATACTAAGACAAAATGTCAGATAAAAGAATAGAGACATAGGTAAATTTTATTGTCATGTTTTTATAATAAATATTTGCAGTATTATATTTTAAAACTGCATAAATTGGATATCATTATCTTTTCTTTTGCAATGAAATTAGAAGTAACAATTGTTTATTAAGCTTTATATCCATGTGATTTCAATAATGAGGTATTTCCTCGACCACCCTAGAAAAAAATGATTCAAATGAAATGGCAGGAAACCTGTTTTTATTGCAAGTTATGTGCATCATTAATGAGCTTTGTTCAGCAGTCTTTCAATCCTGAACTGAAGTTAAGTCACTGTGGAAGGAATGACACATAGTGGCGTGAACAGAGTGAGAGGGGAGGCTAAGCTCAGAGGAATCAGGCCTCCTGTGTGCGGGGCAGCAGCGTCCCTGTGTCTTAGCGTTAACCTGCACCAGCAATCATTTTCTTGCATTTGGTTTGGCAGCTGATGGACCACTTGAAGGCGGGAATTGAAGATGTATGTGGGCAATGGAGCCACTACCAAGTGCGAGACAAGTAAGGAGACAGGGTTCCTCTCTAGAAAGGATGTTGATGGGCGTACAGCTGGGAGGAGTTTAGAGGAGGGGGCCAGAAAGACGAAGGGGTGGGAGCCGGCTGGACAGGAAGCAGGGGATAGACGGCTCTCAGAGGCGCTGGGAGTGTGGGCGGTAACAATGTCCGGAGCAATGTGTGGCATTAAATACGTAACAGTCTCTGTAAGGTGTCTCCAAAGCACGGCAACGCCCTTTTTGAAATTCAGACTTCGGTTTAAGAGGGAAAGTGGGGCTAGAGGTAAAGTCTGTGAGTCCTCAGAGTGTTTGCACTCTGCTCCAAGCTGGCGGCTCCGAGCATCAGAGCACCAGCGTGCAGAGCAGCCTGAGAGCCTGCAGAGGTTCAGGGTGACCAGAGCAGGTTCTCCACATGGAGGTGTGCTGGGCTCCCCCTCCAGTGGCCTCAGCACAGGGGCAGGAGGACGCACCCGCAGGCACTGGAACTGACCAGGTTTGGGTGGAGGCCAGGGTGGCTGCAGGACAGCGGCCATGCTGCGAGCTGTCAGAGTGAAACTCCTGCTCCGAAGCCCAGCCCCTCGTTTCTTCTTTACAATTGGGGCTGAGCGAGGCTGGCCCTGCTCCCCACTTATGCACACTTTTGGGTCTGATGGCTGTCCCTTCCTTTTGTTTCACTGATTTTTCCTTTATTTCAAAAAACGCATTAGTTCTACTATTAGACACTTTTTTAAAAGTGTTTTCAGCGGCTCTGAATTCCAGGCACTGCCCTGGAGTTTCTCAGACTAAAGTTAGTAGTAATTTGTTTAAGAAAAATACAGTTACATAACATGCACAGAAAGTAAACGTTTCCACAATGTTGGTTTTCATTTTTAGGTTTAAGAAATTTGATCATAAATATTTACGGAAAATCCTGATCAGAGAAAACCTGCCGAGATCCAGCATCGTTTCCTTGTACAAGAAGCTGGAGATGAAGCAAGCGCTTGAGATGGCCGAGACCGGGGCGCTGAGCGCCTCAGCCTTCTCCAGGCCCCATCAGTAAGTGCTGGCTGTGCTCTGATCTAAACGATACATTCGTTTCCCGTATGTAAAATGGAAATTTCAATTATAGTTTACTTTAAATATCATGGGTATTAGTTTCAGGTTTACAGCATAGTGGTTAGACAATCATATACTTTATAAAGTGTCCCCTGATATTTCAAGTACCCGCCTGACACCATGCATAGATATTATATATATTCTAGAAGCCCGGTGCATGAAATTCGTGCGCTGGGCAAGGGGTTCCCTCAGCCTGGCCTGCACTCTCTTACAGTCCAGGAGTCCTGGGGGAGGTCTGACTGACAGCTTGGGGGCCTAAATCATCAGTCGGACATCATTAGCATTGCCAAGGAGGCGGGAGAGGCTCCCACCACCGCTGTGCTCGCCAGCCATGAGCCCAGCTTCTGGTTGAGCGGTGCTCCCCCTGTGGGAGAGAACTGACCACCAGGGAGCAGTTACTGCGTTGAGTGTCTGCCCCCTGGTGGTCAGCACACATCATAGTGACCGGTCATTCCACCATTGAGTCATTTGCATATTAGTCTTTTATAAGGTAGGATACACTGTAGATGAGGCCTCTAGAACCATAAGAAATGCAAAAAATTCAGTTAACCCATTATCGAATTCCCCCACTTAAATCAAATTGCCCTCCTCCCCTCCCCCCGTGGTGCGTGTGCTGCACCTTGGAAACCACTGGGCTTGACACTTCCTCTCTGAGCTTCATTTCTGAATACATACACGAATACCATGGGAATTGTAATCTCTTCTCCGCCTCCCACACTGGGTTGTCTTGAGGAGGTTCTGAGCTGATAAACCTAGAAATGTTTCATCCAGTAAGTGATGTCTAACTGGGAAGGGACTGTTATTTTTAAGCCTGCAGGTACCCTCGCAGGTGGCAGGTGCTGATTAGGGGAGGAGGGCATGATTGTTTCCTGGGACTGTAGTTGTGGAAGCTTGCAGAGGGTTCTGCAGGCCTCGGAGGGGCGGGCTCTGGCCAGCAGCCCTGTAGCTGTGGTTGTCCCTGGAGGTGCTGGCCTGAGGGGAGTGGCACTAGGGGGCCGGCAAGGCCCAAGGGGAGTAACTGTCAAACCTTCCCGCTTGGTGCCATTCTTTAAATTGTATGTGGCTGTTTAGTAGCTGTGCCGGCTCAGGGCTGGGTTCCAATCTCCTGGAGCTGGGTGGGGGGTAGGCCAGGGGTGAGCCAGGGGGGCTAGGAGGGCGGGTTTAGCTGTGCCCCAGCGAAGTGTGCTTCCGCTGCAGAGATGCCGCTGGGGGGCCACTCAGTCCTGCCTCCACAGGGTCTGGAGATGTAGAGAGGAGAGATGTGCCCGGCCCCACTGGAGGGGCCCGGCAGTGACAGACCTCGGGCCTCAGGTGCCTCGGGGGCGCAGACGGGACATCACTGGTGTGCTATTGTTGTGGGCAACCTGGCAGGGTGGTGGGGAAGAGATTGGGAGTCAGAGGCGTGGGCTGTAGCTACCCCCGAGGCTGGGTCTTCTCCCAGCCCGGTCAGCCTCTCCATCTTCCCAGGGGTGCAGGGCTGGGGTAGGGTGTCCATGTATCCTTCTAGGGGTGTGGGGCTGGGGTAGGGTGTCCGTGCATCCCCCTGGGGTGTGGGGCTGGGGCAGGGTGTCCGTGCATCCCCCTGGGGGTGAGGGCTGGGGCAGGGTGTCCGTGCATCCCCCTGGGGTGTGGGGCTGGGATAGGGTGTCCGTGCATCCCCCTGGGGGTGAGGGCTGGGATAGGGTGTCCGTGCATCCCCCTGGGGGTGAGGGCTGGGGCAGGGTGTCCGTGCATCCCCCTGGGGGTGAGGGCTGGGGCAGGGTGTCCGTGCATCCCCCTGGGGGTGAGGGCTGGGGCAGGGTGTCCATGCATCCCCCTGGGGTGCGGGGCTGGGGTAGGGTGTCCGTATATCCCCCTGGGGGTGCGGGGCTGGAGTAGGGTGTCCATGCAGGGGGATTGTAAGAGCTCCTTGTGGCCACTTCCTCTCCCTTCTTTGCAGTCCGGGCTCCTGGCAGGCGCTCTCCTCAGACCCGGGAGCTGGGCTCTGGCCACCTTCCCCTTGCTGCAGAAGCAGCCTCCTGCTGGTCTGTCAATATGCAAATTGGTCATTACTGTGGCACCATCAGAACCAATGAGCATATTACCTCTTTGTATAGAGAGATTGCTGGCTGTATTCCCTGTGCTGTACTTTACACCCTGTGACTGTCTGTTTCTACCAATTTGTACTTTTTAATCCTTCACCTTTCCTCAGCCCCCGGCCCCACCCCTCTGCAAACACTGATGTAGATGTTCAAGGCCAGGCCTCCCAGGCCACTGACTTGTTGCTTTACTGAAGGGAGATGCTGGGCGGGAAAAGGGAGGAATTGTGACAAATAGACCATCTCTCTGTTTGTAGCTTGGCCATGACCAACCTGTTTCACCTAATTCCTGAAACTACGTTCCAGCAAAGGTTGCCTTCTTGCCCATGCATATTTAGAATTCTAGTATATTTTATAAGACTTTCTCTTTCTCTTTCTAATTAGAAGTCTCTACCTTCTGACCCCTATTCACCTGGTTCTAATCCTGCCATTGCGTTCCTCCCACGAGTCATTTTCCTTCCTCTCTTGTATGAAGTCAACATTCTGAGGGACTAACTTGGATTTGGGATGAGTGGGGCTAGCAAGAGGCATGATGGCTGGGGGACTATTATAAAAGAAAGCTGTTTGTCATTGTGTCTAAGGAAAAAAAATCCGTGTGAGATTGGGAGATTTGCCTCGAGTCCGTGTGAGACCAGCTTGGAATAGGATTGGGGGGCAGGCTTCCGGTGGGTCCGGTGCAGTAGGGGGCTGGTGGAGACGCGGTGTGTGGAGGGGCAGTGTTATAAGACGTTTCCCTGGGAGGCGTGGTGCTTCTATTGGAGCATCAGGAAACCAATTATCCTAAGAGCTGGCTCGGTACATTTTTAATATATTTTCATTGATTTCAGAGAGGAAGGGAGAGGTGGGGAGAGGGAGAAACATCAGTGATGAGAGAAAATCATTGACCAGCTGCCTCCTGCACGCCCCATCCTGGGGATCGAGCCTGCAACCCAGGCCTGTGCCCTGACCCGGAACTGAACCACAACCTCTGGTTCATAGGTTGACGCTCAACCACTGAGTCACACCAACTGGATGCAGTATTTTTAAAGTTGTCTTAACTCCCTAACATTTAACAAGAGCCTCTTCCATACCACAAGAATGATTCTCCACCCTCTGATGCCCAGGTTTCTGCTAAGAAATGCTTTCTGGTTTGAGCAAATTAATCAGAACGTCTGCTTAACGTGAGGAGCACCAGCCCTCCACCTGACCCACTCAGCTGGTACGGACACTGGATCAGGAGCTTTACTAATGTCCTCACGTGCAGAGAAGAGCTAAGAATAGATGTTAATAAGATTGTCACCACGTCTGAGTGTTACTTCTCACCCGTGGGTGGGCAGCACCTCGCCGCTTCCATGGCCTTGTGTGACGACTCCGGGTCAGCAGGAAGCGCCTGCCCCTTTGTCGGCGGGACTGTTCGGAGGCCGATTAGATTGTGTCAGTGCTGCCCGTTGCACAGCTTGCAGGACACTCGGGAGCTGACAGAGGAGGCGCTAGCAGGTGTGTGCTGTGGGCCGTGCTGAGCCGTGTGAGAGCCCAAAGCAGAGAGAACATTCATTTTAGCGGTCCTGTCCTTATTTAAAAGTTGATACTTCATTCATCATGGATTCTTTGCATTGACCTTTATTTCCTAATGAACTGCATTCAAACCCCACCAGCTTGATTGCTGGGCTGAGGTGTGGAGGCCAGTGTAGGGAGGGGCAGCCTCTCACTTTGGGCCCAGCCCTGCTCCTCAGGCACCTGCTATGTGAAAGCAGGCGCAGTCCTGCCCTCATGGAGTTGGGGCATGACACTCGGACAGAAGGTTATATTAATAAAGTCAAAGGTCACACTGATAATCCTAAAGCCTGGGGAGCTATGCGAGTATAGAGGAACAACTCACCTGGGTCCCGGCTCTGAACTGCTCACTGGCGAAGGCGCTAACTCGCTGCACAGCAGGAGGCTGGACAGGCTCTGGCAGGTTAGGCCCCGGGGCTTCCTCCTGTGGTCTGCTCACTGGTTAGGCGAGCACTTGGTCTAGGAATGCTTATCTCAGTGACAATCAGCTACCCTGAGCTAAAGCTTAACCTGAATCTCTGTATTACATGGCATGGCATAAACAGTTGCCCCCAATTCTGGCCTGAAGAAATTCTAAGCCAGCTTTATTGGGGGGTAAGGGGTCAGGGGAGCTTCTGTTAAGGTTGTTATTTTTTCCAGACAGGTTTAAAACCTTGACTCAAGATTGATGAGAAAGCCTTCTAGGTGAGAGATAAATGTTTCTATCTATTGCCCAAATGGTGGAGAGGCTTTTTAAACTCATATTTAATTCAAGTTTAGTAGTTAAATTGCATTTATTTGATCTCATCAGAAATATGTCAGACACCTTGCAAAAAGGAATTCCGCTCCTAAGATCAAAACAGCTGATTTCTTAATAAACAAACCTTCATACAATAATAGGAAAAAGACGTGTGCATTCAGCTCACTTTTTATTATTCTGTGTAAAATGAAAACAGCACAGTGCACATGTGTTCTTTAGAAGTTAAGCGATCCTTCCCCAAGAGGCTTAGATCTGCAAACTGTGGCTCCAGGGGCCCCTCCCCGAAGCTGTCCCCTGCACGCTGCACTCTGTGGACTCCAGGGCTTTCTCTGATTTACCTGAACCTCAAATAGCCCTCTGGAACAGGGAGAGTGTGCCCTTGGGTCATTATTTTAATGTGAGGCATCCCATTTACCAGCGAGTAGTAAGCTCTTAGAAATGCCAGAGAATAGAGGTTCAAGTTGATTAAAACTGTGGAAGCTTTAACAATATTTGGTTAATATTTTAGAGCTATTGAAATATTTATAAATTTATAGGCATAGCAAACTACAACTCTACAACTTAAAAATGTTATATTTTAAAATTCCCAAATAATTTTAATGTCATTTATAAGAGGTATAAAATTATTGTAGTTTAAATGTTTTTTATTTGATCACATGATGACAGGCATACGTTTAGCTTTATGCATTCTTATGCCAAAGACTCTGGAATGAAACCCCATGTAATTTTCATTCTGTAATGGAGCCTTGTTGGGGGAGTCAGGCCAGCCCCCCACTCTCCACTCCTCTTAATGCTGGCCAGCGTGGGCCCTTCCTAAGGGCCATCCCATGGTGCAACGGGAGAGACAGGCCTCGCCTCCAGCTCCCAGGAGGCTGTTGGGCACAAAGTTTGCTCAGTGAGCACGGCCTTCAGTATCTTAACACATTCCGCGGGGACTTCGTGTATAGAGCTATTAAGAGGATGGATTCTTCTGCCATGAACCAGGGAATAATATTTCATTTGGGGGAATTAATATTATAGCATGAATATAACATCTAACAGATTTTATGTCTATATTACTCGGAATTGAAGCATCTTTTTACATTATTCTGGCATTTTAAAAAGTTAGAAATGTCAACATTTTATTTGAATACCATTTAGTTTCATACTTTCCCATTCAATTTTTGTTTGTTTGTTAATCCTCACTCAAGGATATGTTTTATTTTTAGAGAAAGTAAAAGGGAAGAGAGAGAGAAACATTGATCTGAGAGAGAGAGACGTGGATTGGTTGCCTCCCGCACATGCCCTGACTAGGGCCCGGACTAAGTCTGCAACCAAGGTACATGCTCTTGACAAGAATCAAATCTGAGACCCTTCAGTCCACAGGCCAATGGTCTATCCACCTAGCAAAACCAGCCAGGGCCCATTTGATTTTAATAGCCATGAAATTTCCATAGAACTTTTATTTAAGGTGACAGAGCTTTCTTTTATGGATAATGAATGAAGGTTGAAATGACTAAGATCTTTCAGTTCACAATTTTTCTTTTTTTGACCAAGAGATTATTAACATTCATTTCTCTAACAACTGTATCTCTCCTGTCCTCGTGAGGTCAATGTTTCAGGGTGATTCTGCTAACCGAGTGGCATATGGGAAGCTCCCAGTGTCGCTGCCCTATTAGCAGCTCATCTGCACAGCTTGAGCTGCAGCTTCCTGTGGGTGAGTGAGAGGAGTGGGAGCGGATGGCCTGGGGCCTGTGTCACAGCTCCAGCAGCAGCCTGAATGCACCTGTAATTACACTTGGCCCTTCCCAACGTGGTCACTTATACACCAAGGAGTGTGCCAGGTCAGGTCCACTGCTATTTGAAAGTTTAACTTCAACTTTCTTTACCAATGGTGTTTCCTATTTGGCTGTTTATGACACATACAGAAAATTGAATTGTTTGATTAGCTGTTCTTTCTGCTTAGCAATAGATTACTTCCACCATAATACAGGCATGTGTTCAGATTGTTGGAATGTGTGGGTGTATCTAAATTAGAATAAATTTTACTTGAAGGACATTTAAACAGTTAAGTTGAAATGTCTTTATGATATTATATGTTCAGTTCACCAAGGGTGGTAACTGCTATATCAATAGTGTTGACAATTGTAGAGCTAAACTATGAAGACTCTGGTTCAGCAATTCTGTAGAAAGAGCATTAGTGTGCAGACAGCATTGCTAAGCCCACCCTAGCATTCTGTGATGGCCAGTAGTCACATCTTTAATTCTCTTACCAATTGAAAATTACTTGCAGGACATCCTTGCTATTTATGACTATACTAGAGGCCCAGTGCACAGATTCTTGTCCCAGTGAGGTCCCTTGGGCTGGCCTGAGCCCTTTAACAATCTGGGACCCCATGGGGGATGTCAGACTGCCAGTTTAGGCCCAATCCCTGAGGCCAGGCTGAGGAACCCCACCAGTGCAGGAATCCATGGACTGGGCCTCTAGCATGCATATAAGATCTTTGATTAATCTTTTCCCACCCTCCCTCCTCTCCCCTTCCCTCTGAGATTCATCAGTCTGTTCCATGTTTCCATGACTGTGCCTTGAGTGTCTGCCCCTTAGTGGTCAGGATGCATTATAGCTACCTGTCGAACAGTTGCTTAGGCTTTTATATAGATACATAGCTACCAATGTTTGGGAAAATTGTTTAAAATTGGCCTGTTTGGGAACTAGTAACTACTCATCTCTGTGATCAATTACCCTAAGACTTGCTTTGCAAGCAGCTGTTAACACATTCAGAAGAGCTGCAGCCAGAGAGAGAAAAAAGAAGTAAAAACTCTGTGAGGGTTTATTATACCAAGTGTTAAGATAATAGTATTAAAACAGGAGGAAATCATATTAAAAGATGGTTTAATTTCCTTAGTGCTCTCTTTTTAGTTCTTAAATTCTGCAGTGAACATACATTACTCGTGCAATAGTAATAGAAATTACCTCCTCTAGATTCAAATGACTGAAATCCGATACATTTCTCAATGTGATGTCATGACTCAGAGGACAATTGTGCATTGAGGTTGACCTGAGCATGACTTGGATTTTGAACCCTCTCCGGGAACTCAGGATGAAGGAAACTGCGGAGGCAGTGAGCAGTCAACTGTTTCTAGAATCTCACTGAGTCCCAGTGTCTCAGAACTAGGCTGGCTTTTGCATGATGAAAACGTCCCAATTCTCCTTGTAAAATATGATACCAGTTTCTTACAATGTCCTTTAACTGAAGATAAAATTCCTGAGGGAGCAGTCCCTCGGTGGAGGTACTCATAAAGGCACATGTAACAAGGTCATGCTCTCAGCTCAGAGCTGTGGGAAGGAGGCGTGTGGAGAGCACTGCCCACGCGTGGCTCACGCCCACGACAAGCACAAGGCAGGTCAAGAACAGCCTTGGCTGGGGAGTCTTATTGCTGTTGAATTGAATAGTAAAAGGTTTGGTTTGCATTTTATAGTATTTTTACATTGCTCATTTTTCAATAATTGACTTTGTATTTTACAAACATGTTTTATCATAGCAGATATGGGGGAATAAAATGAGTTGTGTTTCCAACATTAAAACTAAAAGACATAGAAACTATATCTTTAAAGTGTGAGTCCAGACCTGCGATGCCCTCTCACAGCTTGGGAAGCAGCAGGGTGCTGACAAGAAGCTTCTGGAGCTCCCAGGAGCCGTGATACTTTCAGGCTCCCTTACCACTGTGGGGAAGTAATGCCTGCCTTTCTCCTCTGGCTCCCAGGGCCCAGCCATCACAGGGAACCAAGAGGCTTTCCCCTGAGGACGTGGCATCCATGAGGGACCTGCTGACACGCAACATGTACCAAGTTCGGCAGAGAGTGAGTAGGACTGTCCTCCAGCCGCCCCCCCCCCCCACCCCTGCCCTGGGCCACCGCTCTAAGCAGCCTCTGCTGGACCACCGCCCGCTGCTTGGTGTGGAGAACAGAGCGCTAATTGTCCCGTTTCTGCTGCAGGGCTGGGTTTTTGGCAGGAGAAGAAATGAGAATCCAGTGGCTGGCCACAGGGGTCAGGCCCTCCCTCCCGAGGGCAAGTGTGGGCCCGCGGCCACCACAGACAGGACGGCCCGAGGTGGCCGCCTCCAGCTGAGCACCTGTAAGGAGCTCCCGAGGCTGAGAGGGTTTGGCCTCTACCTTGAAGAGGAGCGGGGTCGGGCATGTGACTTCTCAGTTTGGGAACCCCGCACTTGGGACCGTCCCAGTGCACAGAAAGGCCGGTTCTGAGCTCTCGGAGACTCGGACTTGGTCTGAGGACAGCAAACCTGATCCTCTCATGGGGGTGTAAGTTTGAGGTTCCGATGGAACTTCCCAAGTCTGAGGGTGATTATAAGCGAGTTGTTTACAAGGGCCTTGGTTTTCATTCTGTCGTTGCTCAAACCTGAAGAACCTGCCGGTTTAAAGAACGTGGACTGCCTGTGCTCAGCCCTCCCCAGGCTGATGAAGGTGGAACTTAGGGAAGGCTCCAGAAACAGAGACGGAGGTCCTGGGTCTCCAGCCCAGTCTGAACGGAGGCTCGCTGCCCACCTCCTTTGTTCCGTGTCATTACCGAGAGCTTCTGCCTTCCTTCATCAGCGAGCCTGTCCAGTGTCCAGCACCTCCCCCTAAGCTGTGCCTTCCTTGTGGTCCCCAAATAAGCAGCTAGTGTGGGAAGTCACATGGGAGACCACAGGTAATAAACAGAGGGCCTTCCAAGCCTCCGAGGGGGCTTTTGCCTCCCCTTTCGCTACTTTGAGAGAGTGGAACTTCCCGTCCTTCCTAGGTCACGTGACTCCTCACCTCCCCCACGGTCCTCTTGCTCTCTTGGAGGAAATAGAGCTCTACAGATGCCACCAGAACAGCCATTTGACTGCTTTGTTCCTAGTGGGCAATCTGCAGTTTTGAGGATTGTCACAGACGGTGACATCTGTAGCCCTCTTGCCTGGGAGACAGGCCAGCAGGCCCTCACAGGTGCTGGGCCAGTGATGACAGCCCCTCTGGGAAGAGGCCACCTTGGGAGTCCCCTCTGGGCGGGGCCGGATGAGCGCAGGCTGGACCTGGAGGACCCTACTTCATGGGTCTGAAGCAGCAGGCCCTGAGGGGTCTGCTCCCCCTGGCAGCGCTCTGGTTACTCCCTTTGAAGCCATTCGCTCAGCACATCTAGTTAGGGAGCAGCTGGGGAGCTGAGGACCTCACCCCTGGAGATCCTCAGGGGACAGCCGCAGCAGAAGTGCTTCGAATGCAGTGGGGATGGACACTGAGCAGCACTCCACATTACACGGGGAAAGATCAGCCTTCACCCAGACCTCAGCATAAGTCAGACACTGATGGGCAGTCCCTGGGCTAGCCTAAATGATGAGGTCACGCTCAGAATTTCAATACGCTTTATTTTTCTTTTCTATGAAATTTATTGGGGTGACATTGGTTAATATTATCCTACCAGAGTCCGGGGGCGAGGGAGTGTTCCTCAGCCCAGCCTGCACCCTCTCCAATCTGGGACTCTTCAAAGGATGTCTGACTGCCTGTTTAGGACATCCCTCTCACAATCCAGGACTGCTGGCTCCCAACCACTCACTTGTCTGCATGCCTAATTGCCCCTAACCATTCTGCTTTCCAGCCTGATTACCTGCTAACCACTCCTCTGCTGGCCCAATCACTCTCAACTGGCCTCCCCTGCTGGCCCACTCACCCCTAACTACCATCCCTTATCAGCATGGACACCCCTAACTGCCTTCCCATGCCATCCTGGTTGTCCCTACTTGTCCTCCCCTGCAGGCCTGGTTCCTCTCAACTGTCCTGCCCTGTAGACTTGGTTCCCCCCTAACTTCCATCCCCTGCAGGCCTGATCCCCTTCCCCAACTACCTTGATAGCCCCCACCTGCCCTGCCTTGCAGGCGTGGTCCCTCCCAACTGCCCTCCCCTGCTGGCCATCTTATGTCCACATGGGGCTGCCATCTTTGACCATCGTGTGTGTTGGAGCGATGGTCAATTTTCATATTGCCTCTTTATCATATAGAACTAGAGTCCTGGTGCACAAAATTTGTGCACTGAAGGTGGGGGGGGGGGGTTCCCCTCAGCCCAACTTACCTCCTCTCACATACTGGGACCCCTCAGGGGATGTCCTACTGACAACTTAGGCCCACTCCCCATGGGACACACTCCTTTGTAGGAGGCAACCTGGCTGATCAGGGGAAGACACCAAGCCCATCACCCTGCTGCTGCAGCCACTGCCAGTCACCACAGCCACCAAGGTGTTTTCATCAACACACCAGTACTCCAGGCCAACACTCCAGTCCCTTCACCAAGAAAAAATGACAACTTTCTTTAGGCATTTTTAAGATGTGTCTTTCTTTCTTCCTTCCTTCCTTCCTTCCTTCCTTCCTTCCTTCCTTCCTTCCTTCCTTCCTTCCTGCCTTCCTTTCTTTTTTTCATCCTCACCTGAGGATATGTTTCCATTGACTTTTAGAGAATGTGGAATAGAAAGGGAAAGACAGAGAGCAACATAAAGTGAGAGGAACACTTGATTGGTTGCCTCCTGCATGAGCCCTGATCTGGGCCCCAGCCAGGGAGCTGCAACCTAGGTACATGCCCTTGATCAGAATCGAACCCAGACTCTGCCGTCAGCAGGCCAAGGCATTATCCACTGAGTCAAACCGGCTAAGGCAGGATATGGCATTCCTTAGCCCTCCAGAAGTGAGGTGGAAAAATCCTAGATCACCTTTCTGGATTCTTATTACCCAAGTTACTAAGAATATTACCAGTGGCATACAGAAAGCTTAGCCAGTGAGCAGTCAGAAAAGATGTTTCCTCTGTAGTTCACACCAATGACTGGATGGGCCCTGCCCAGGCCTAAAGCTTCTGCCAGAGGTAGGCCTGGGCAGGGGCCCTCCAGCTCCTTCTGATCACTGGCTCCACCCCTGCCCAGGCCTGCCCAGGCCAAAAGCCTCTTAGGCAGGAGGGGAGCCCCAGCTCCCTGCAATCAATCACAGGGGGTCTACTCCTGCCCATGTGATCAATCCCAGGGGGTCTGCTCCTGCCTCTGCCTCAGCCTGGAACAGGAGTTGAGCCCCAGCTCTCTGTGATTGATCACAGGGGGTCCGCTCCTGCCCAGGCCTTACCTCACGGTGACCTGGGTGCCAGGATGTTCCTTGGACACAGGCCTTGGGCCATCTTGTTTGGGTTATTTGCATAATCACTCTGATTGGCTATGGGCATAGTGAAGGTATGGTCAATTTACATGTTTGTCTATTACTAGGTAAGATATGTTGCAGGTGTGGGATTCTATGTTATAAGATATGTATGTGCTCATAATTAAAGTCAAATCTCCAATCACCATATTTATTTACTTACTTTTATTGTTTAAAGTATTACATAGGTCTCCTTTTTCCCCATTGACCCACACAACCTGAGGGCAAGTCCCCATGGCCCCAGTGTCTATGTACATTGGTTATGATAATATGCATGCCTACAAGTCCTTTGGTTAATCCCTAACACTCTCCCTTCCCGGCCCCTTGTCTCTGGAACTATTATTGTTCATCAGTTTATGTTGATCATTATATCCCACATATGAGTGAGATCATGTGATATTTACCTTTCTCCAACTGGCTTGTTTGGCTTAGCATAATGCTCTCTAGTTCCATCCATGCTGTTGCAAATGGTAAGAATCCTTTCTTTTTTACAGTGGTGTAGTATTCCGTTGCATAGATGTACCACAGATATTAATCCACTCATCTCCTGATGGGCCCTTAGGCTGTTTTCAAATTTTAGCTATTATAAATTGTGCTGCTATGAATATAGAGGTGCATATGTCTTTTATGATTGGTGTTTCTGGTTTTTTGAGATATATTCCTAGAAGTGGGATCACTGGGTCAAATGGGAGTTCCATTTTCAGTTTTTTGAGGAAACTCCACACTGTTTTCCACAGTGGCTGCACCAGTCTGCATTCCCACTAACAGTGCACAAGAGTTCCTTTTTCTCCACATCCTCACCATCACTTGTCATTTGTTGATTTGTTGATGATAGCCCTTCTGACAGGTGTGAGATGGTACTGCATTGTCATTTTGATTTGCATCTCTCAGATAATTAGTGACTTTCAGTATGTTTTCATATGTCTTTTGGCCTTCTTTCTGTCTTCTTTCAAAAAGTATCTATTTAGGACAGTTGCCATTGTTTTTATTGGATCATTTATCTTCCTTTTATTAAGTTGTATAAGTTGCCTATAGATGTTGGAGATTAAACCTTATCGGTGATAACATTTGAAAATATGCTCTCCCATACAGTGGGCTTTCTTGTTGTTTTGTTGATAGTTTCTTTTGCTGTGAAAAAGCTTTTTATTTTGATGTAGTACCATTTTCCCCCCTTAGTTTCCATTGGCCTAGAAGAGGTATCAGTGAAGAAATTGCTTTGGCATATGTCTAAGATTTTGCTGCCTGTGGATTCCTCTAGTATTTTTATGGTTTCCCCTCTTATGTTTAAGGCTTAGGCCGGCAAGGGCAGGCAAAAACTTGACTTCCTCCATTGCCTGGGAAACCCAAACCTCCCTCCTGCTCTCTGTGGCTGTAGCCATCTTGGTTGGGTTTATTTGCTTTGATTGGCTGGTGGGTGTGGCTGGTGAGAATGGCTGGTGGGTGTGGCTCGTGGGTGTAGCAGAGTGGTGGTTTATTTGCATATAACTCTTTGATTAGGTAGGATACCCTTTAACATTTCATATAATACTGGTTTGGTGGTAGTGAACTCCTTTAGCTTTTTCTTGTCTGTGAACCTCATTACCTGACCTTTAATTCTGAATGATAGCTTTGCTGGGTAGAGTAATCTTAATTATAGGTTCTTACTGTTTATCACTTTGAATATTTCTTGCCACTCCCTTCTGGCCTGCATAGTTTCTGTTGAGAAATCCACTGATTGTTGTATGGGTACTCCCTTGTAGGTAACTAATTGTTTTTCTCTTGCTGCTTTCAAATTAAAAATATGAAGGTAGTGTCTTTGTCTTTTATCCTTGGCATTTTAATTATGGTGTGTCTTGCTGTAGTCCACTTTGGATTCTTCTTGGTTGAGGTTCTCTGTGCTTCCTGGGCTTGTAAGTCTATTTCTTTCACCAGGTAGGGGAAGTTTTCTGTCATTATTATTTCAAATAGATTTTCAATATCTTTCTCTCTCTCTCTCTCTCTCTCTCTCTCTAAGTCTCTCTCTCTCTCTCTCTCTCTCTCTCTCTCTCTCTCTCTCTCTTCTGGCACCCCCATAACTTGAACATTGGTACACTTGAAGTTGTCCCAGAGGCTTCTTACACTACCTTCATATTTTTAATTTCTTTTTCTTTTTGTTCTTCTGATGATTGTTTTTTGCTTCCTCATATTTCAAATCATTGATTTGATTCTCAGGATCCTCTAGTCTACTGTTGAATCCCTAAATATTATTCTTAATTTCAGTCAGTGTATGCTTAATTTTTTTAACTGGTCCTTTCCCCCACACACACACTTTTTTTTGGCATTTTCACTACAATTCTCAAAAGTCTCATTAAGTCCCTTGGAGGTTTCTAGAAGATTCCAAAGAAACCATATAACTGTGGTTTTGAAGTCTATATATAGTAGTTTGCTTTCCTCCATTTCTTTAATTTGTGGCATGTTTCTATGTCTCCACATCTTGGCTGCTTCCCTGTGTTTGTTTCTATGAATTGGGTAGAGCTGCTAAGTTTCCTTGAGTTGATAAAGTGGCCTTGTGTAATAAGTGTCCTATAGTGCCCAGTGGTTCAGCCTCCCCAGTCACCTGAGGTGAACACTCTAGATGTTCTGTCAGATGTCTGCTGGTTCCATCACTGTTCCCTTCACTTGCCCTGATGGATTTTTCCCTCCTATCTCCCAGATGTCAGCTCCTCCCATCTGAAAGAAGCATCTGCTACTGCTGGCTTCCTCCCCTCTCCAGGACCAGCCAAGAGCTCCGGGCTGTAGGGATGCATCTGTGGATCATCTGTGCTTTCCTCCCTTCTCATCTCCCTCTTTATTCCCAGTTGCCCACCTTAGATGTTTCAGTGTGTGGGTCTCTCAGGCATGCTTCTGTATTGAGTAGGGATTTCTTTGTTAAATTATATTTGGTTACATTTTTGAAATTTCAGGGAAGAGGCCAGGAGGATCTCTCAAACTGCCATTCCTCTGATGTCACTCCTCAATATACTTACAAAGGATATAGTTTCAATTAATTTAGCTTCAGTTCCCTTCAACAATGACATGCACATCTATAATGTACGTCTTTATCCCACAGAGCTCAAGTTTTAGTGGGAAATACAGGTTCTAAATAATCACCAACTCCTCATTAAAAGCCAGAAAAGGCTGAAACCAGTTTGGCTCAGTGGATAGAGCGTAGGCCTGCAGATTGTAAGGTCCCAGGTTTGATTCTGGTCAAGGGCATGTACCTTGATTGCGGGCACATCCCCAGTGGGGGGAGGTGTGCAGGAGGCAGCTGATTTGATGTTTCTCTCACATCAATGTTTCTGACTCTCTATCCCTCTCTCTTCCTCTCTGTAAAAAAATCAATAAAATATATATATATTTTTTTTTTAAAAAAAGTTAGAAAAGAAGGAAGGAAAGTAAAAAACTTAAATGTACATTATATTCATAGAACCTCCTATGCTCCCTGCAGATAGGGAAACTGAACAAGCATATGAGTGATGTGATATGAGGCAAAATAGAAAAAAGGTGTTTGAATTTTTGTTAAAATACAACCTTCTCTCAAATCAAGGTGTAGGAAAACCTTACTAGCATATATATATATATATATATATATATATATATATATGTAATAATATATATTACACTAATATATGTACTGATATATATAGTACACACACATATATGTATACATATACACTGAGTGTCCAGATAATTATGCATTCATAGATCATAATAATCTGACCACTCAGTGTATATGTATATGTGTGTAAACATACACACACTGAGTTCAGTTTTGTGTAAACTTAACATTGATAAAAAATTATAAAAGTTTGTCTTAGTATTCCAGATGCTTATTTTTAAAATATTTTATGGTAGTATTATAAGTCATTCTTTAATGTCTCAACATGTAAAATACTAGAATTACAGCACGCAAAATCGCGTGGCCCCACCTGCCCCTGCACACCCTGCCATGCTCACAGCCCCACCCACCCACGCCGGTCTTTGGTCCTTAGGGCCACTGGGTTTTTATAATATAGATACTTAGGTTGAGGTCCATCATTAGTGATGGTAGATAAAAACCCATATTTCAAACTGTCTTTAAAATTCAACTTTTTGGAAAGTTCTTGTCAGATTGGTTAATTTGTCAAGAGTGGCTGTCCATGCTCTCCCATCAGCATAAAGAGAAAGCTGGCTTTGCTAATTCACCTTTGTTTCCTTGACCCCCAACTTATGCCTTTCTTAAGAAACTATTTTTAGACAATTGCCATTTTATGAGGCTTAATTAACTGTGATTGAGTTAATAGATAGTAAAGATCACAAATATACTTCAGTGGATATATACACATTAAAATACAAACACTCATTGTCTTTTGCCTGTCCTCCATATTCCCTGCACAACCCAACATCTTCTCACTTACCTGAGCACATAACAGTATATACTTATTTGTATAACTCCCTCAGTAGACTAGAACCCTTTAAAGATCATAATTCTAACTTAACCATTTTTAAAATTTCATGTTTATCATGGTACCTGTGCATGGACATTTGCTCTTTTGCTATCAAATTGAATGTTCTATTGAAGCATTGGTTAGTCAAGAGTTATCACATCTTCAGTCCTGAACCTATTATTTAAGAGACCTACTGCCCCACAGGAAACAGGATACTCACTGGTTGAGTGAAAAGAAGGAAGGGAAGAAGTTCCAGATAAGCACTTTGTAAACATCTGAGGACTGATGTTGGTCTATGGAGGTTTTCACTGGCCTTGATAAGGACAAGGAAGTAATTTTTCATAAAGCTAAATTGATTCAGTTTGAAGGACTATTTTTTTTATTTTCTTTATTTATTAAGGTACTACATATGTCCTTATCCCACTGCTCCCCCACCCTCCTGCTCATGCCCTCATCCCCCTTGTGTCTGTGTCTGTTGGTTTTGCTCATATGCAAATCCCTTCTCTTACCCCCCCCCCTCCCCTGCCTTCCCTCTGAGGTTTGATGGTTTGATCAATGCTCTCTGTCTCTGGATCCATTTCCTTATCTGAGATTATGTATTTAGTTGATTTTAAATTTATCTTTAGTTAGCAAAATTAAAAAATAGCAACGTTATAGAAATTTCCAACGTAGTTCTGACATTTCCCTGATTCATTAAACTCAGTAACCACTGGCCTAGTATAAAAAACACTAGGAAAGAGAGTGTATGGGGCAGCACAAGTCTGTGGGCATTGGGGGTACCTGCAAGGGTAACAGAGGGACAGAACAGGGGAGAGCACCGCCCTCTGAGCCAGGAGGCACCACTCCAATGATAGGAGTCCCAGTAGGGGTAGCCTCAGTCACAGACTTTTCTTTGGGGCCACAGCTGCTCCCCTGTGATCGAGGAAAGTGCTCAGATGACTTGCATGGTATTTTCTTGCTCTAGTAGTCTTACTTTGTGATATTTTTATAACCTCCTGAGGACGACAATTTTACTGGAGATTCCTTTCCTATTTGATGTTTCCTCTTTCTGCAGACACCGTCCTATAACAAATACAACCTCCAACCCCAAACAACTGAAAAGCAGGCTAAAGAGATCCTGATCCGCCGCCAGAACACCTTGCGGGAGAGCATGCGGAAAGGCCACAGCCTGCCGTGGGGAACGCCGGTAAGGGGGCCTTGTAAGCTGGACACACCTGAGAGCTGGCTCATCCCAGGACAGGGCCTCCTCAGGTGACTACCACTGACCCTTAAACAAAACCACTGGCTTTTGACAGAGAAATGCAAAAGCAGTGGGGCAGGACACACACTCAGGTATCCCTCTTGGAGTCCAGGACCTTAGGAACCCAAGAGATCTCTCCCAGGAGGAGTAAGTGAACGCAGTGCACGTGCTGTGCCCTGAGTCTGAACTGGCTCCATGGCGGCCAGGACTGAAGGATCCTGGACTTCGGAACCAGTGCCTCTGACTCTTGGAAGATTACACCTCTCCCAGCAAAGAGGTTGTTTTAGCCAAGACACTTGGACTTCATTTCCATATTATCCACTGTGCACCTGAGCTGTTCCGTTTGAAGCCATATCAAAGCGATCTTACTGGGACCCATGGGTGGAGTTGGGTCTGGGGTAGGTCTTCCTCTCCACCCTAATCTCAGGGAGGCTGTGGGAATAACTTTGAGAGGTTTACAATGGTCTATTTTACCACAACAAGGAAAGCGAATATACAGTATATTAAAGACTGAAGCATTCTGTTTTTTAAACAAAAATAACTGAAAGCCAGTGATCCAGAAAAGATGCCACCATGTAAGTCTGTGTTCTTCACTTTGTTTGCCACGTGAAACTTCAAATCGCAGTAGCTAACTTTGCCTTTATTTCTGCTTGTTCCTACAGGCTGGTGCCAAAAACATCCGCTACCTCTCCTTTCCCTACAGCCGTCCTCGGCCAGCACGGGGAGGCGGGGCGGCTGCTGCCCTCGAAGGTGACTGTGTCTGGCGCGGGTCCTCTTTGCTGGAAAGGCCAGATGATATATATTTTGGGGATGGAGGCCAAAATGAAAAATTAAGACTATTATATAGGACTTCTAGAAGCAAAAAGAGGAAGAGAGAGACAAAAAAACAACTTTTTATTAATTTAATTCAAAAATTCATTGATAGACACTGAAATTTAAATTTCCTATCATTTTACTTGTCATGAAATCATTCTTTTAATTTTTTCAGCTATTTAAAAATGTAACAACCATTTTCAGTTCACAGGCAGCAGGCCAAATATAGCCCAAGTCTATTAATTTTTCTTAGAAAAACAAAAAAAAATTGGCACATTTTTAAAGTCACAGAATTCACCCATGGTTTTAAAATTTCCAGAACTTTTCCAAAGTTGGTTAAATTTTACTAAAATAATTTAATTAAATTTACTGATTTAAATTTCCCTTTTAATATCTGTGCATGCATATCACATATGCATGCATATCAATTTAAATTTTCCTAAAATTTCAAGATTTTAAATCACATTTAAAATTCAAATAACCTAAACATATATGATTTTATTTTTTCCTATCTAATAAAAGAGTAATATGCAATTGACCATACCTCCACTACACCCACAAGCATGCCCACCAGCCAATCAGAAGCAAATATGCAAATAAACCCAATCAAGATGGCTACAGCCACAGATAGCAGGAGGGAGGCTTGGGTTTCCACAGCAATGGAGGAAGCCAAGCTTTCCACCTGCCCTTGCTGGCCTAGGCTTCCACTCAAGGATACAAAATTTCAATGATAGAAGATAAATAAATCCAAACAGAAATGGTGGCAGCCACAGAGCTAGAAAGAACAGGAAGCTAGGGTTATCCCCAGCGATGGAGGAAGCCAAAATTCTGAAGCCCCGGCCTGCCTTGGCTTCTGCTTAAAGCTACAAAGTTTCAGTTATAGAAGATACATAAATCCCAACAGAAATGGCTGCTGCCTCAGAGCAAGCAGGAGGCTTGGCTCTGCTCTAAGATACAAAGTTTCAGTTGTAGAAGAAAAATAAATCCCAGATACCAGGGCCTCCACTTGGGTCACTGGGGAACGTGGCCAGCCTGAAAACCTCCACAGGACCCTCACCCAGGCTGCCTCACACCCCAAGGGAACCCCTCCCTGATCCGGGACACCCTTCAGGCAAACCAGCTGGCCCACACCCATGCACCAGGCCTCTATCCTATCTAATAAAAGAGTAATATGCAGATTGACCATCACTCCAACACACAAGATGGCTGCCCCCATGTGGTCAAAGATCCTGCCCCCCCATGTGGACACAAGATGGCCACCACAAGATGGCCAGCAGGGGAGGGCAGTGGGGAAGGACCGGGACTGTAAGGGAGGGCAGTTGGAGGCAATCAAGCCTGCAGTGGAGAGCAGTTAGGGGTGACCAGGCTGGCAGAGGAGGGAAGTTGGGGGTGACTGGGGAGCAGGAAAAGACAGTTTAGGGGAACACAGGCCTGCAGGGGAGGCAGCTAGGGGCAAACAGGCTGGCAGGGGAGCAGTTAGGCATCAATCTGGTTGGCAGGAGAGTGGTTAGGGTTTGATCAGGCTGGCAGGCAGAAGTGGTTAGGGGTAATCAGGAAGGCAGGAAGGCAAGCAGTTAGGAGCCAGCAGTTCTGGATTGTGAGAGGGGTCCTAGATTGGAGAGGGTGCAGGATGGACAGAGGGACAACCCCCATCTGTGCATGAATTTTGTGCACCAGGCCTATAGTTTTATATATATTTGTATTGATTTCAGAGAGAGAGAGGGAGCAAGAGATAAAAATATCAATGATGAGAAAGAGTCATTGATTGGCTGCTGGGATCAAGCCCAAAATCCGGGCATGTGCCCTGACCAGGAACTGAACCCATGACCTCCAGGTTCATAGGTAGATGCTCAACCACTGAGCCATGCCAACTGGACACATATAGGATTTTAGAATTAAATATTTGAAAAGTGGATATATCATTCTTTAAAATTAAACATTTATTTCTGATTTTAAAATTTGTTTGATATAAAAACAAAATCAACCAGTATTGAAAGGAATAAAAAGAAGCTAAAAGTACTTGAGACCCCAAACCCAGATATAATCACTATAGACAATCTGGTTGGGGTCCCATAATTCTCTCTACACCCTCCTGATCCACACCCTACCCAGACCTAATACAAAAAACACACAAAAACAAAAGTCACAAACCACCACCACCATCATATACATAAAATTATAGCATAGTCACTATTCTGTAACTTTTATAAATTGTCTAATTCACTCAACCATATGTTGTAGACATCTTCCCATGTCAATAGATATGAACATTTTGATCATAATGACTTAATAAAAATAAATTATATAAGAGAACCATGATTTGTTTAATTAAATCCTTATTGACAAATATTTAAGGTAGTTCCACATTTTTTGTGAATATAAGGAATGATATATAATAAGTGCCTTGGATCACTTGTAATGGATTTTTGCACAAACATGCAATTATTTTCTTAGTACTTTTTCCTGGAAGTAAAAATTTTGGCTAAAAAATTATATATATCTAAATTTATGTATATCAAAAGTCTGTGAGAAAGGTCATTGCTGAACACTTTTACCATCACTGGCTAATGTCAAACTTGTGAGTAATCTATGATATGATAGGATAAAATTTAATTTTCTTGAGTCCTTTTATTTTTAGTACGGTTGAGCATAATTTCATAATTTTAGAGCCATCTGTCTTTCTTTTGAGGAAGCTTCTGTGTTTCCTTGGCCCATTGTTTTCTATCTGGTTGCTATTTTCCTTAAATGAATTTGAAGAATATTATGTAATTAAGACATCATCTATTGTCTTGTATTTGTTGTTAATGCTTTTTCCTCAAGTTTCACAGTCATCTTTTAGTTTTTGGACACACTTGCCATTCAGATTCTGATGAATCAAATTTATTTGATTTCCAAAGAAAAATTAGGAAATGACTTACAGTAGAACCTTGAGGCTTGAACTTAATTCGTTTCAGAAGGCTGTTTGAGAAGTGATTGGTTCCGAAACTGAGCCATTTTCCCTTAGAAATAATGTAAGTGGAATTAATCCGTCCCAGGCCCCAAGTGATCCCGTGCTCACCTTCCCCATGCACAGCACGTGTCTAACGCGCTGTTTACTATAAACACACACTTCTTCTCTGACATCCACCGAACCGCCTCCCGCTGAGCTTAAAGGAACCACGCCCCGCACTGGCCCAGGTGTCCGTCAGGCAGCCTGCGGCATCTTCCCTTGTTCACAGGGCACTGCCCGGAAATGCTGCCACGCTAACGGCTCTTCCTTCACCAAATCAGCCAGTTTTCCCGGCTCTCCGTGCCTGAGCTCACTGCTGTTTTCACACCCTAGCAACAGTAGCACACTTGATGCTCTTATGTTTTAAAATTGTGCTAATTGTCCATTTCATCTGCAGCAAAAGCAACGCACCCCCCCCACACACACACACACACATACACACATCTCCCTAAAATACTCATGGCATAATTTCCTGAGATAACAAGCAAGGTTAGGTGGTAAACTGACTCACATCCGAGGTTGAGAACTGAAATTCCACAACTTGAGACATTATTTCTATAAACAACCTGGTTTGAGGACCAGGATTTGACTAGACACAATATTTTTCATCTAGAACTTTAAGAGGTTGACTTTCTCATATATATTTCAAATTATCTGAGACTTATCTTTGTAAATTAAGATAGAGACTGTTTTCAAGTGGTTATGTTCCTGTCCCCACACCATTCTTCCCTGTAAAATGAAATGCCATCTTTGCTGCACTAAAGCCCTCATCCTGAGAGCGTTTCAAACTCTCAATTCTGTCTCATTGGTCTAGTATCTCTCAGATCACAGTCTCGTGACTAGTGTCATTTTGTGCTATTCCACAAACAAAGCAAACATGAGGTGAAGCCTCCTCGGCAGGAAGATGTGAACACCTGTTCTTCCACCTGCCCCGGGACCTCACCTCTGGACGGGCACCAGGGCAGCGGCAGAAGAAGCAGGGAGGGGAGGGGCTCTGCTCAGGGCTACTGGTAAGGCTTCCAGTCAATAGTAGACAATTAGGAAAGTTTGGGGGAGTCAACAGTTTTCATGGACTTTTGACTGTGCAGGCCGTTGGTGCCCCTCATCCCCAGGCTACTCAAGAGTCCTCTGTCCTCTGCTCACCACTGGGGAAGCTGGCCTGAGGGCCGTGCTCATAAGAACACTGAGTGTCAGAGCTGGACCCCAAAAAAGGGTACTTCACACTGAGCTCTCGCCATTGAGATTTCTCTTCTCTCTGACCTGGTCTTGCTCTTACCTCTTCTCGTCATGCTTTCCTAGATGCGGACAGCAGCGATTCAGAACTCTCCTTCGCCATGTTCCATGAGCACTCTCCAGCACGGTCGCTGCAAGAGAGACAACGGATACAACAAATAACCACAGTGAAGAGTTTAAACAGAGGAGGGAAGCTCTCCAGCTCTGGTTATCAAATAAGTCCAAGCCAAGAAGAGCATGTTGGCCGGAGCAGAAAGGCTTTGAGGCCCAAACCGCTATTCCACCCGGTGGATGAGGAGCGTGAATCTGGAGAGGAGAGCGGGGAAGAGGCCTCCCCCCCAGGTGCCGGGCAGTGGGCTGAGCACGGAAGGGAGCCCAGGAGGCCTTTGCTCCGAAGGAAGTAGTTGTGTTGGACACAGGCTTGATCCAGCGTCCTCCTGAGCCATCTCCCTATTGGGTGGGTGAAGGGTCAGAATCCTGAAGAAAGCTGCTGAGCTGGCTTTTTGAAACTGTGAGTCAGGCACAAGAGGCAGCGGGGGCAGGATGGGAGCACTAACCTGCAGGCGGTGCCATATTCTTAGCTGATACACTTTGTAGATGCTTTCCTGTGAGTCAAAGACCTTTATTACCCCAGAAATTACTCACTGAGGATTTCTAAGTGTGTGTGATCCATTTTAATTTATTGTGATGCTATGTGGTTGGTAATTTACCTTGACAATATGCATGTACAACTTATAATCAAGGTAGACCTCAGAGGAGCCCTAGAAATATGCTACCACATAAGAGCCATCAGCCCAAAGGGACGAAGCCCATGGAAAACCCAGGGATCCAGCCTTTTCTTTTTATTTAAACAAACCAGCCCTCAGAGCCACAGAAAAACACCTATGGCTTTGGAGAGGGTGTCAGTGAGTCACTACCCTTAACCCGTAGACGGAGAGACAGAGAAGAGAGGGGTGGTCAGAAATCAAATCCACACGCAAAGCCAGTTCTTGAGAGGTAGGGAGTGGCCAGTCTCTCATGGACTTTCCACTCAGCACCAGAGCCCACCCCGTGGAGGCTCTGGGGCAGGGGCTGCTGGGAGTAACCTACTATGTTCTTGAATGTGGGATCTATGGAACTGGCACTGAGTGACATCCGACACTGTGAGGTTTGGGACAGGGCCTTTAATGAAAGCAGTGCTGCTGTTCAGGGGACTCTGCGACCCAGATCCTGCACAACCTGGACAGTGAGATTTCCTCTCTATACAATGAAGGGGTTAAAAAGAACGAAGCAGGGCAGAGAGAGACTTACTTAGCAGGATCCTGCAGAAAGCTTGCAGCCTTGAGCACAGCATAGCTCAGGTAAGCAGGAGATACCTGGCATGGGAGGAACCAAGGAGAGACCAGACCTGTCTCCCACATTCTTTCACAAATGGAGTTAACTATCGGCCCACAAGAGAGTGCAGTAGAAAGTATGTTCCTGGGACTAATTCAGACTGCTAGCCCCCCGAAAATGTTTCATTTTCCCTATCAACTACGGTTCTTCTCGGAGAGGCTGGCTCCATCAGGGAGAGGGTTAGGATTAGAGGGTAAATTGGAACGTTCTCCTTTAACTGGTGGAAACCATAATGGAGTTGTTTTCCCCGAGGACTTTGCTCACCTAGACACTGTCTGGTCAGGGCTGTCCCTGTCTGAGAAGCAGCCCTGGGGCGTGCCCGGAAGGCATGGCAGGCGAGGAGCAAGCAGTCCTGGTGGCTCGGTTAGACTCTGAGAGCTTGTGGTGGGCTGGCCTCTTTGTTTACCATCCAAGATGGCTTCAGAATGCTGTGTGATCTGCTCTTCATTCCTCTGTGACTCGGGATGACTTGAGGGTCTAACAGGCGCCTGAGGGATGCTCTGGTTTCCCAGGACAAGTGTTTTGAGCAGACACCACACAGCTCAGCAGCAAAAGTTTCCCCTGGAGTGCTGAGGAAGACCTGACTCTTCTTCCTTCCTCGGTTCCAGGGGGCTGCAATCACATGAGGGGTGTTCTCCCCGGCCTGCAGCTCCCAGCCTGGCTGCTCTGGGCCTGGCTGTTGCTGCTCCGGGCCTGGCTGCTGCTGCTCCGGGCTGGCTGCTCTGGGCCTGGCTGCTCCGGGCCTAGATGCTCCGGGCCTGGCTGTTTCGGGCCTGTATGCTGCTACTCCAGGCCTGGCTGCTCTGGGCCTGGCTGCTCCGGACCTGGATGCTGCTGCTCCAGGCCTGGCTGCTCTGGGCCTGGCTGCTCCGGACCTGGATGCTGCTGCTCCAGGCCTGGCTGCTCTGGGCCTGGCTGCTCAGGACCTGGATGCTGCTGCTCCGGGCCTGGCTGCTCCAGGCCTGGATGCTCTGGGCCTGGATGCTCCGGGCCTGGCTGCTCCGGGCCTGGCTGCTCCGGGCCTGGCTGCTCCGGGCCTGGCTGCTCTGGGCCTGGCTGCTGCTGTTCCAGGCCTGTATGCTGCTGCTTTGGGCCTGGCTGCTCTGAGCCTGGCTGCTCTGGGCCTGGATGCTCCGGGCCTGGCTGCTGCTGCTCCAGGCCTGGCTGCTGGTCCTCTGAGCAGTCTATCTGCTCTTCCTGGGGCAGAAATTACCCTTTTTTCTTTAACCTCAAAAAATCAGACACAGCCCACAGAATCTTAATTTCTCGGTAAGTTGTTTGTTTGCTTTGCTTCTGCTTTTGTTTCCTCAGACCTGTTTATATTGCCGGGCTGAATGGTTTTGTGTTTCCATGAATTCTGAGTTGGATAAAGTAGTGTTTCCTTGTATTCATCCTATACAGAGGCTTTCCACCTTAAGGTTTTTCACATGATTTCGGTGCTTATGATAAATGTTCACATTCATCTTCCCCAGCTGTGACGTGATGCCACAGCCCTGCTCTCATCTTTAATCACTCTGCTAGCAGGGAAACCCTGGCCAGCGGTGCAGAGGGATCTGCTGGGACCAAGGGGAGAGGAGATTCTGGACATTGTATTTTGCTTCCTTCGTGCTCTTCTCTGGCTCATAAAGGCCGTGTACTTCTGTTTTCTCTTCTTGGAAATGTGAAAGCGTCGTGGAGGTAGGGCTAGAATTACCACCCGAATTCAGTGACAGAGTGACGATTAGTGTATGGCAGTGCCTGCTCGGGCAGGATGTGGCAGAACTCAGCTCTTCAGCTGAGAGAGCTGGTTTCAGCCCACAGGGAAGCCTCACTCCTCCTTACCTGTTTGGATGCCTGCCACTCCGATCATTCAGATTTTAAAATCAATACAATTAGTTCAGAATGCAGACTCTGAAGTCAGACCATTTCTAGCTGTAGGACCTTGGACAACTTAACTATCTTCCCTAAGCTGAAAATTACTGATTAATAACCTAAGGTATTAATTTCATCTATTTCATAAAATGGTAACAAGGATTAAATAAAATAACTTTGTAAGATTCTTAGCTTTGTGCTTGTTTTATGCTAAGAGCTGGATGACTAACAGCTAAAACTATTTAGGTTAAAATATCTATTCCTGAGAAAAGGCTCACAGGGATTGGATAACATGAAGAGGCATAAATAACAGAAATCTGAGACTTTTCTGAGACACATCGGATTGTCATAATGGAGGACACTTGGGGGCCTGGTGAGAGGACGTGGCAGAAACAGAAAGCACTGAAACATGACCACCTAGCCATGTCTCTACCAGCACCCATCGGTCCACAGCAAAACCAGAGGAGAGATCTGACTATAGATGCATGTCTTTCAATCACAGCTTGTTTTACTTCTGTGTAGTTCCCTCAAAATCATGGCATTTCCTACGTTGGGGACAGTTACCCTGGTGTCCAATTTTAACCACAGTTTATTTCCAAAGAGACAGTGAATTCCCAAGGCCTGCCTCTGTGACCACGGTCAGCCAGTCAGGAAGGGACTGCTCCTCTGGCAGGGCAGAGGGTGCAGCTCCACTCCTCAGCCCCGGGTCTTCTCCATGAGAGGCCTTCCCTCAAAAAGAGTGGTTCTTTTACTGCACGGATATAAAATAGAGGGATACATTTTCAAGGATTTTCAGCATGGAAAAAATAGTTTCTAGTGATATTTCATAACTTTCTAAAATTAGGAAAAGTAATTTTTTTAAAATAAAATCAATAAATATATGTTGGTGTTGTCTAAGGTTTTTGCAAGTATATTTCATCCACAAATAAGACAGATGGTTTATTGTAGACTAGAGGCCTGGTGTACAAAATTTGTGCACAGGTGTGGTCTCTAGGCCTGGCCAGCGATCAAATTACGAGCATCTGGCATGGAAGTTCAGGTCCCAGCTGACCTCTGGGCCCTGGGAAGCACCTGGACACCAGACCCTTTCGTGCCCCCCTCCAACTGAGTCATGGCATATCAGTCCCCAAGCAAAGTTGCGTTGAGCTCAGCCAGATGCCATGGGCCAGAGCATAGAGTGGAAGCTGGGTGGGCAGCGCACTCTCTCCCAGCTGGCCTCAGCAGGCTGGCTCCTAAATGAACCCACAGTGAGCCTGACAGGCCCCTGAGGTCCCAGCAACTGCAGCCCTGCTCACCCAGAAGCTCAGTGGGGCCGGCAGCGCCTCCACTGCCATTCGCTGCCAGTGCCTCATCGCTGATGCCTGCCATGTTGGTGCCACCCTCTGGTGGTCAGTGCACGTCATAATAAGCAAACTCCCAATGGAACTCCTGGTCAAGGGGACAATTTTCATATTAGGCTTTTATTATATAGGATATCTTTCATTGATTTCAGAGAGGAAGGGAGAGGAAGAGAAGGATAAAAACATCACTAATGACAGAGAATCATGGGTCAGATGCCTCCTGCATGCCCACACTGGGATCGAGACCACAACCTGGGCCTGTGCCCTGGCAGGGAGCCAAACCTAGACCTCCTGAGTCATAGTCGATGTTCAACCACTGAGCCACGCCCACCAGGCTCTTGTTCTAATTTTAAAAGACAGAGAATTAACACTCCAGGGGTCAACTTGCCCAAAACAGCCAATTACTCAGTGGCAGAGCCGGAGGGAGGGAGGGGCGGTTCTAAGCTTGCACTCAGGAGGCCTCTGCGTTAATCGGTTCAGCCAGGGGGCGGGTGGACAGTCTCTGGCTCTTCAAGCGGCACTTCTTCAAGGTCCTCGGATTCCCTCATGACCCCACCTGCCCTACCTGCCTCAGCTCTGAGGCTGAGGAGGGCAGAGTATGGGAAGGGCCTGGGAGGGAATGTGGGAGGGGAGGGAGGGGCAGAGCTGGGAGCACCACAGACCCCAGGTGGGAGTTAGAGGCAGCAATCTGGATGCTGATCGCCCTGCCTCAGTGTCTCAGGAGCGTTTCTCTCTCCGGAAGCACTGCAAGCATTGCCTTAGGCCACGGACTTGGGGCTGGACTTGGCTCTCTGTTCTGAGGTGCGGATCCCCTCTGTCCTGAAACTGGAGTCGGGGGC